TTCCTTTGGGAATAATCCACCTACATCCACCCTCGGACTACACAACCTTAAACAAGCTTCATGATCATCATTGCTGTGTACACTATTAAATTGTTTGTTTAAAACTTATACTGTGTGTGTGTGTGTGTGTATGTACACAAAATATAGTCTTGTATGGTGAAAAAAATTTCCCTGGAACCTACCCCCACCCCACATTAATTCTTATGGGGAAATTGGATTTGCTTAACATTGTTTCACTTAAAGCAGCATTTTTCAGGAACATAACTACAACGTTAAGCGAGGAGTTACTGTACGGTTTTCCACAGGAGAGTAACTAACAGAAACTTGATGGAATGAGGACAATCAGTGAGACACAGTAATACCACGGTACAAAATATATCAGAAGGACAGAACAGGTCGTGCTGGTGGGGAAGTGGCACTATATGTGAAAGAAAGGGAAGAGTCAAATGAAGTAAAAATCCTAAATGAACCAAACTGTACCATAGAATCTCTATGGACAATAATTCCATGCTTGAATAATAAGAATATAGCAGTAGGGATATACTACCAACCACCTGACAAGGATAGTGATAGTGACTGTGAAATGCCCAGGGAGATTAGAGGCTATAAAAATAAAAAACTCAATAATAATGGGGGATTTCAACTATCCCCATATTGACTGGATACATGACACCTCAGGATGGGATGCAGAGACAAAGTTTCTTGACACTTTAAATTACTGCTTCTTGGAGCAGCTAGTCCTGGAACCCACAACGGGAGAGGCAATTCTTGATTTAGTCCTAAGTAGAGCAAGGATCTAGTGCAAGAGGGGAATATAGTCGAACCACTTGGTAATAGTGACCATAATATAATTAAATTATATATGTGGTGGGGAAAACACCACAGCAGCCCAACATGGTAGCTTTTAATTTAAGAAAGGGGAACTATACAAAAATGAGGAAGTTGGTTAAACAGAAATTCAAAGGTACAGGGCCAAAAGTGAAATCTCTGCAAGCTGCATGGAAATTTTTTAAAGACACCATAATAGAGGCTCAACTTAAAAGTATACCCCAAATTTAAAAACGTAGTAGGAGAACCAAAAAAGTGCCACCGTGGCTCAACAACAAAGTAAGAGAAGCTGTGAGAGGCAAAAAGGCATCCTTTTAAAAAATGGAAGTTAAATCCTAATGAGGAATATAGAAAGGGGCATAATAAACTGGCAAATGAAGTGTAAAAATATAATTAGAAAGCAAAAAAGGAATTTGAAGAACAGCTAGCCAAAGACTCAAGAAGTAACAGCAAACTTTATTTTAAGTACATCAGAAGCAGGAAGCCTGCTAAACAACCAGTGGGGCCACTGGATGATCAAGATGCACTCAAGGATGATAAGGATATTGTGGAGAAACGAAATGAATTCTTTGCATCAGTCTTCATGGCTGAGGATCTGAGGGAGATTGCCAGACCTGAGCCATTCTTTTTAGGTGACAAATCTGAGGAACTGTCCCAGACTGAGGTGTCATTACAGGAGGTTTTGGAACAAATTGATAAACTAAACAGTAATAAGTCACCAGGACCAGATGGTATTCACCCAAGAATTCTGAAGGAACTCAAATGTGAAATTGCAGAACTACTAACGGTGGTATGTAACCTATCATTTAAATCAGCTTCTGTACCAGATGACTGGAGGATAGCTAATGTGATGCCAATTTTTTAAAAAAAGCTCCAGAGGTGATCCCAGCAATCACAGGTGCCGGCTTCCAACTTTCCCCAGGGGTGCTCAACCCCCGCTTAGTCCTAGGCCCCACCCCACCCTCTTCCCCCAGGCTCCCACCACTGACCTGCCTCTTCCCACCCCCGCCTTGCCTCCGCCCACCCCCACCTCT